CCCCCCCGTGCACACATAGCTGCAAGTGGCGTGTTGTGCATCTTACAGCGAATGTGACATGATGTCTAACAGACATGGGGTGCCATGTGACACTTTTCCATTACTGAATGGATTCTGCATGGCCACAGCAGCACTTTCAGGGGAGCTTCACCATCACCAGGGAAGGTGGTTCCCCAAGTTTCCCATCGGGCTAGGGCACCATTTTTAGTACATGCTCTAGCAAGGGGTGCTCCCAAAGCCTACTGCTCCACATCTGGGCCCTGGGATTCAGTGCTGGCCTTTACCAGCTTATCCATCAGCCTTCAGTCATGAGACGCTAGTTAGCTGCACCCCTTCTGCTCCACTGCAAAGGTTTTGGGTACCCCTCAGGAGACCTCCTTATCACAATGGCAGATGTAAGGCACAAGGGAAATTAGAATAGGGGTAAGCCAGCACATTGGGCAGAGAGCCATAATAGAGTTGATCAGGTCCCCCAGGTAACTCGGCTTCCATCACAGCGGAGATTATTAGACACCCCGATTTGCCCACTTCGGATTTTGTCTTCGAACTATCTGAACTATGTCTTACAAGGATTCATATACTGTATAAGAACTTATTATCTTTTACATATTAGCCTTGATGAAGGGGCTGGAATTACAGACCCCGAAACGTGTTGGCTTTGCAAACGATCTACCAACCACTTATCACAAACCAAAGTGATTGTTGATGAACCCCTCGGGTGTGCAGAAGCTGCCAACACAATAGTCAAATTCTGTACATTGACACCATTGCCGTACTATGGGATGATAGCAATAATATAGATTAACATATTAAAAAATCTCAGGGTTCCAGGGGCTCTTGTTGACTTCCCTCGTCCTCCATGACCAAGGCGTACTGGGACATGTAGTTTGTCAGTATCTAGCCCGCTAATCCCGCCAAGCACAGAGTCGCTTGTGGTATATTAAATAAATTGACTGTTAGATCAAAGCTCATCAAATTAAATTTTTTCATTATAAAAACCACTCAGAGCGACAATGAGCGCTGGGCCCTGATCGCGTGACCGTGAAAGTGATTTCGCTTCCCTACAGATACAATATCAGATGTCATTTTCTACAAATTAAATCATTAGCAGAGCACTGATTCTGTTCTGCAAAAAAAGTTTAGATGGGAAAGTTTTTTTCCCTTTTATGAAGTGTAAACAAAGGGAGAAGGTCAGTCAAACCTAAAGAGCAAAGGGAGGATGCTTATAGTTGTGTTGGTGCCCTTTTATTGTCCAACCACAGGCTGAGGGTTGGTCCTGGACGAGGATGCATCGCCCAACAGCAGTGTAGCCTGCAGAGAAGTCTGGGGCCTGCCTGTACTGTGTGGACGGAGGGCCTTGATCATCAGACTGGGTGAACAAAGTTACAAATCCTTTGACAAGTAAAAGAAAAAGGTCATGTCCATCTATTTTAGTTGTAAATTTGGAGGCTTTTAACTAGAAAAGTATAAAGATGAACCCCAGTCAGCTGAGAGTATGATTCTAATGTCTTTATTCAACCTCAAATACTATGTAACTATGTAACTATGTAACTATGAGAGAAATCCCCTCCTGGTAGCTTTACCCACATAGAAAGGCTCTAGTGCTCATTTAGTCTACATGAATATATAACAGAGGGGAATTCTTTCCCTATTCCTTGCTCATTCATCAGCCAACACTCTCCTCCAATCCCGGTCAAGCCCCCATATCTGTGCGGGCCCTCAAAGTCCTCCCGTACAATTCAGTACTGCTGGTCCTGCATTATATGATGATGTTGGCACATAGTGGGGGGGGGGGGGGCCTGTTTTTCGACCACAAAAAAA